ATCTACCAGGGTGGGGAACCTCTGGCCCACAGGCCATAAAAGGTCGGGCCAACTCATTTGGTTTAGTCCTGCCAAGGCATTAGGTGTGAGTTATGACATTTTCAACCAAATATAGTAGGCTATTTTTTAAGTTGATAATTTTATATAGCCCTTAAAGCAGTGGTTCTCAACCTTCCTAGTGCCGCGACCCTTTAATACAGTTCCTCATGTTGTGGTGACCCCCTACCATAAAACTATTTTCGTTGTTACTTCATAACTGTAATTTTGCTATTGTTATGAATTGTAATGTAAATATCTGATATGCAGGATGTATTTGCATTGTTACAAATTGAACATAATTAAAGCATAGTGATTAATCACAAAAACAATATGTAATTATATATGTGTTTTCTGATGGTCTTAGGTGACCCCTGTGAAAGGGTCGTTCGACCCGCAAAGGGGTCGCGACCCATAGGTTGAGAACTGCTGTCTTAAAGGATGTTATAAATATCCAAATGGCCCTTGGCAACAAAAAGGTTCCCCACCCCTGATCCATGGAAAGGATAGAGTACTAGAAATGGCAGTGTAGATGCATTTTAAAAAGCTACTTTTTTTTCTTATTTTTAATGTCTTGAAGAGATAATTGGCTCCTTAAAGAAAAACTAATAACAATATATGTAACATATATAAGTAAAATGTATGACAAAAATAGCACAAAGAACAGAGGAATTAAAGCATCTCATTGTAACATTCTTATGCTAGTCATAAAGTATTACAATATTGTTTCAAGGTAGAATGGGACAAGTTAGAGATGCATATTGTAAACCTCAGAGCAATCACTAAATAAATGAAAGAAAAAGGTATAATCAATCTGGTTCCCAGGATACTGGGACGGATGGCCCTTCCCCCAAACTTGTCACTGAGGGCTCCTTGAGACTGTTCAAACCCATAAGCTCCTCTCGGGAAAAATGGCCTTTTCAGTTCGGGATCCTATGACCAAATGCTCTTGACTGCTATTCAGTCAAGTCTCCCTGCAATGTTTCCTACCCCAGCTTCATCCAGGTACCTCAAGACCACAGCTCCCTTCCTGCACCAAAGCCTCAGGTGAAAAGTTGCAAATGAAAACTCCTGTGTGTAGAGATTTTTAAAAAATTGTAACTGCCACTTTCTCTTTCGCTGCTGGATGCTATGGGAGCTGTGGGTCTTTTCTCTGGTGCTGGGGGATGTGGAACCCATCCTGGGTTCAGGGTCTCTATTTTCTGAGGGAACAGACTTTCCCATAGTGGGGAGTTCCCTCCTCCCTCTCGGCCTGCCAGCCTGCTGGGTCAGCTCCTCTCAAGACCTCAACCTTCCTACTAGTCTCCAGGTGATTTCTGTCCTTTCTTTATATGTCCTCTCCTCAGCTGGACCTCAGTTGGTAATTCCAGGTGAATATTCTCTAATTTTGTTCTATTTCTAGTCTGGCCCTGGGGTGAGGTGAACAATAGGTCTGCCTATTTGGCTCCCATTTTCTTCAATAAATCCGAGTCTGTTTTTGTTTTGTTTGTTCATTTATTTTGTTCTCTAGATTCCTCATATAAAAGAAATCATATGGAATTTGTCTTTCTGTGTCTGACTTATTTTACTTAGCATAGTACCCTTCCAGAGAGAAATTTATAGTATCAAAATGTTTAAATGCTTATATTAGGAAAGGAAAAAGTAAAAAAACCACTTATAAAGCTTCTGCCTCAAGAAACTAGCAAAAGAAGAGCAAATTAAACACAAAGAAGGAAAGAAATAATTAAATTAAACACAAAAGTCGTTAAAGATTATTAGCAAAAAGTTATAAATGCAATGAAATAAAAAGATAGTTCTTTGAAAATATTAATAAAATGATAAATTTTAGTTGGATTAATCAGTAAAGATAAAACACACACAATTCCAATATCAGGAGTGAGAGGACGTTACTACAGAACCTTCAGACAGTAAAATAGTAATAAAAAATGTTTTAAACAACTCTATGTCAAGTTAAGAAGCTAAAAATACAGAGTTTATTCAATCAATTTAAGATCTAGCGAAAAGCCAAGGAAAGAGATGATTTACACTAACACACTAGGAGAGTTTGCAAGCGCACTATGCAAATCCTGTACTGAGCAGTGTTCATAGTCCTGTTTTTCTCTGCCTCATCAATCCTCATTGCTGACTGTGTGGTTTTAAAGATTAAAGGATCTTGAGCAAGGAGGCTCAGTAATATGTTACCTTAGGGCAGTGGTTGGCAAACTCATTAGTCAACAGAGCCAAATATCAACAGTACAACGATTGAAATTTCTTTTGAGAGCCAAATTTTTTAAACTTAAACTATATAGGTAGGTACATTGTTATTAACTTGATTAGGGTACTCCTAAGCTGGCCTTTGCTAAAAACATCCTCAATCTGATTGAGGTACTTTCGCTGAGATCAACTCCTTCCAACTCTCCCATCCAC